CCTCTAGTAATATATTTACTGAGAAAAAATGTTGACGTATTCAATACTTATTTTACCCGCTGGATGTGGTACCTGTGGCTGCATCCTGATGCAGTATGAGAGAGCTGCATCAGRGCAGGTGCACTAGTGGAGAGTACAGAAAAGCATTTTGAAAAGCAACAGAGAAAATGRAAAAAAGACAGCCTAATGGGAAGGGTTTGAGTCAAGGTAGGCTATGTTCACCTCCAAGCAAGAAAAAACAAGTCTGTTCACTTGATMCAGTGCAACAACTCCTCACATAAACACACTATTTGATATTTTGTCTTTAAATAGTGAGATAATTAGCTACTCTCTATTTAACACGTGCCTCACCCCAGCAGTGAATGCATAATGTTTTACATTTCAGGAATGCAGAACTTGTTTTAGGGGTACTTCCTTGTTTAGTATGACATCAAATCCGGGGTGTGACCAGATTTCCTATAAACATTGTGAGAACACGTGAGACGTTGCCATTTTGTTTTCAGATCTCCAGAGCTACAGACAGGCTCGGAGTATGATACCTGAAAATAAACATTCAGCCGAGAACTTAATCAGTTTTCTGCACATGATTCATGCTTCCAATTTGAACAATTGCTTTACAACAGGATGTACTATAACATTTCARCTCAGAATCTGCCGACAATCAAACGTTTACTAACAATTTGTCTTGCTGGATTGATTGACGGACTGATTGATTTCCCTAAACAAATAATTAAGTTGGTCAYGGCTAYTCATTCAAAAAGAAAAAAAAAACTTTGTTGAAGTCTGATTTGTCTTTTTCATCTTAAAATACAAACAGACCTAAATTCACAATTCCACTAATTAAAGTGCTGTGATTTAAATAGGCAATTTTCAGGATTGTGTATCTATAAAACCAAATACAATTGTCTACTCTGCTTTCTTTCAGTTTATGTGTTAGACAATTTTTTTTTATGACAGATACACATACAAAACTCACAGTCTGATCTGATGCCAAAGCAGGATTCATTAAAATACTATTTCAGCTCTTTTGGCCCCTCAGCTATAACTGCTTGGCAATAACGTTACAACTGCTTTCTGCTAGTTGGRAGAACATGCAAATGATCATTTTTTTTAAACTGAATGACTCTGCATGTGCATATTTTAGACCATTCTTGGCATCTAGAGTGAGTTGATTGAGATCTTGAGTACGTTTTTGGGTTTGGAGGACTCACCGCTAACATTAACTGCTCTAATCATCGTCTAAGGTTCAGTTCAGATGATGAAAAGAAAAAAAAGAGAGGTAGGCTGTGTGTGTGGTGATAAAATGGGTTAGAAAAGTGAGCAGTAGCGAGGAAGATGAGAGTCATACAAACATAAAAACAGCAAAACGGAGAGGCTGAGTGCAAGAATAAAAGCATTGTGGGGGAAAAAGGTGGATGGATGATGTGGGTGAGTGGATCAGAAGAATGGGGGGAAAAGAGGGAAGCAAGATTAAAAGCTAGAAGGCTGGACAGACTGATTAGAGGCTGATGTTTCCAATGGCAGAAAAATTGCTGAGATTAGTGGATGTGGCTAAGAGCACTGTTTGATTCAGTCTGTGCAACAGGAGAGGCTTGGCAGCTCACTACGGCTCCTCGTTGCGCAACATTCCTGCTGACAAGCTAAACAGCCGAAATACAGTGATGCATGTGAAATGTTGATCAAGCAAAAGTTTGAATCTCATCGGGGCATCAAACCCATCCATCTTTCCTCCACAAAGATTATCAGTCAAAGATAATTCTGCCATCGAGCAGGTGGTGCACAACATCATCTTCATTATTAGGAGAACATGTTGGTTTAGATGTTTGGAAGTCTGCGAGCCTCATTTTAGACTGACAATAATCCTACCCACTGTTCAAACACAATTTGACAGGAGTTCTCCATCACATTTAATGACTTTCATTACCAAACATTCTGTGATTTCTGCCAAGGCAAGATTTGCAACTAGACTTACCCAGCAAGGATTCATGGCCCTGGAATCAGTGTAGTATCCTGATACCTCACGGTTATTGGCATTATTACAGAAGTGCCCATATCTCCTGTAATTTACAATGATCTGTCACAGCGGGGCACTGTGTGTTTGTGTGTGTTTTCAGCACAATCTCAAACACAGTGGGTGTGCCTCTCTACTCCTCTGCTCAGTGTTTCTGGGTTCACAGTGATCAGATTTGGAAAGAAATCCTCTTGTTAATGCTGACCGTCCGTTTTATTAAACAAATGGACTGAGCGAGGCAAAGTTATTTTACTTACATCAGATGGAAACACAACACACACATGAACACATAGTAAAAGTAAAACACATTTTTACTTTTAGAAAATGTCCAAAAATAAAAAATAAAAGAGAGAGAGAGAGATTTTAACATGAAATGCTTGACTTAGAAATGACATCCTTTTWGACTATTGAATTTTACACATCTTTACACAACTATACAGTATATCTGTTGGAGGAAAAACAAATGAAGAGGTTGTTGTGTCTGTCTCATGTCTCTGGTGGGACTTCTGACCTGTCCAGGTTGTACTATGCTTCGAGCTTATTGGCTACCGGGATAGACACCAGCTTCCCTTCAACAYTGAAGAGATTAATTTAGATTATCAGTGAGTAAACAAAGCAGAAGTTTAAAACTTGGCTTGCAATCCTAAATTAAAGATTCCACCAATATTTCCCAAACCTCCTATTTGTTAAGCTTGATAAATGATGTTTTAACCAACATATTTAATTAAAAAACTGCATTGTTAATTCAAAGTAGTTCCTCTTTAAATCTCTCTGACTATTTGATTATAGATTTGTTTTAATGCTTGGAAAGTTATATTAATCTTTGTGAATAATCTTTACTTTGTTTACCAAAGCAGTTTTTAGTATAGAATTCACAACATTTCTGGATTCTTTGATTGGCAATTTGAGTTAATTTTCTGTAAACACAAATAAACTTAAAATATCCCAAAACATGAACACAACTGTAGCACTGAAAACACAATTCTCTATAATTTATTGATGTATTACAGCTGGAATTGTATTTAAAACAGTATCCACATACATTAGATTGTCATTCAGATTTTATTTATTTATTTATTTATTTATTTATTTATTTATTTATTTATTTATTTATTTATTTATTTATTTATTTATTTATTTATTTATTTATTTATTTATTTATTTATTTATTTATTGCTAAAGTTGAACTCTGTTCTGGTTTTAGCTTTGTTAAAAAGACATTGACATAGTCCAAATTATTTTTTACACAGTTTCATGATATTTTCAAATCTTTTGTGGTTTTCCACTCTAAGTTTGTAAAAAGCTGACATATTTTCCTGCAGGCTRACTTTATTATTTCACTAAATGCCCCATAGTGTTTGGAAGAGTATTTAACACATTTATATCAAATAWTTTTTTTTTCTGTAGCTTTACTTCATTCTAAAGAGGGTTAGGAACAGATCATTTTAAAGCATATTTCTAAMGCTCTAAACAAAAAGAAAAAAGGAACATACCAAAACACAAAAGTTACTGCAAAGGCAACAAATTGTTTTAAAGGTCAGCCTTCATGTCTTTGTCTGAAAATGATGCATGTGTGTGTGAAGTCTTGAAGTGTGAGTGAGTTTGGCAGTGCAGCTACATTTGTGTGTGCACAGGTGTGTACCTGCATTCATGCACTCTCCACAAGTCGACACAGGTGAAGGGGGGGCTACATTGGTTCCTTTTGCAGGAGTCAGAGGAGCATCCTTTGGAGAGTCCTTGTACTTTGACCTGGGAAACCCCATCCCGTGGCTGGCTGTCCAGTGGCATGTAACGACCATTGAGGCGTACGTCCCTCATACAGCCTGAAGAAAAACATATAAAAAGGAGGGTGGAGCAAAAAAAAATCTATATTACAGGCATTTGCTTCTACAGACTCAAATTAAACAGTGTTTTACCTCTAAAATCCTTTGTTCTTGAGAGATTACAGTATTACAGGACTTCAGTTTATTTTTTATTCTGAGTAAAAATGTTTTATCAGAATGTCTCTGATACTGCAGAAACAAAAATCTGACATTCATAAAAATAATCTCTAACGACAAAGGCTGTAGATTGTGAAATATAAAATTACATGATCCATTGTAAGTTTATTTTTGTTTTTGGTACAGTCACTGGATGAACTAAAAGAAAAGCCTCTTTTGCTTCATGCCAACTCCTCAGCCTCCATTTAACTAAAGAAAACAGTATTCTCATGGTAGCACCACTGCATCTTTTCACAAATCTGTTATGAACTGATCTGCTACCTGAGTGTGCTAAGCAGCAATTAAAACAAGCATCTCTTCTGCTGAAGCTACCAGGCAAAGCSTGAGCACAACAGGAGCTGTTCTCACCAGGTAGAGGAGGAAGAAGAGATGGCTCATTCACTGAAGCAAATAAATTCTGCTTTAAAAATAAGTTAAAAAWTGTAAATGTATGTATCATTATTTTATTGTTGATGTACAGTATATTGATTTAGTAATTTGTCAGTGCCCTGTTAGTGCTGCTCCATTAGTGAAAAAAGAAACATCAATTTTTGCCTGAACACATGGATCCATTATTTTTTAAAGGTAAACTGTGATAATACTTACTATTTTTTTCATTTAAACCCATTYATTGATTGATGTCAATGTCCAGTTTATTTATATAGCAGGTTTACATTATACATTCATTTTGAACATGCACAAAATTGGCATGTAAATTAACATGTTGCTGACAAGTTGGGTATAAGTTAAAGATATGCAACAGGGAAGTTCACACGTTACGTACAGTGAACATATAACTTATTTCAAACTCATGAACAACATATTTCTAACATATAACTTATATCAAATGTTTCCACAACTATAACATATATTATACACAACTTTTCAGTATATTATATATATATATATATATATATATATAGCAACTTCTTTCTATATTTTATTTTATCTAACTATACCAGGACACTTTGAAGAATAATTTCTTACAGAAATGACAGCAGACAAATTCCCAAAAGGACTCAAGGGAACTCTACAGCAAATATATGGTAATTTATACTCACACATCATTTTCAATGATCATATTTATTTATTTTTCTTAAAAACTAGCATCTGGAAAGATGTTTCCCAAAATAAAAGGCTGATGCACAGAAACAACAACCAGTGATGATGACATAAATGGCAAAATCTGTTATAGCATGATCTCAGCTCTTGACAACGATTAGCGGAGCTCTAAAATTTCACTTTAGTCCATACAAAGATTTTAATTGGAGCTACAGACAGTTGACACCAACCTTGGAAGCTCTTGTTGATTCCAGAGGAAAAAGAGTTTCCCAGCATCACAGCAGAGGGATCAATAATGATCTCTCGACTTCTGCCCCGTGATCCTGTCACTTCCCGTTGACCTCCACCACCATCAAGTCTCAGCATCATCTCATTGTCATAACGATCAAAGAAGACCTCGTGCCATTCACCATTGTCCAGGCGGTAGTTGGGCAGAGTTAGGTTGTACTCTCCATCACCAAGATTGTAGAAAACACAAAGGAGGCCCTGAAAAATCTGCAAAACAAAACAAAGATGTAAAAAGCTTTTTTTTAGATTCAGTTGAAACTGTACAAGTTTGAATCTTCAGTCATTTATTATTAAAGTATTTAGCAAAGTTAGTTTTCAGAAGTAAATAGTCAGATATAAAGAAAGGATTTGACATTTACCACAAGAAAAAAAGCCAGACTTAATCATTTTATGGTAACAGAATGAATTGAACAATAATGCAATGTCCAAGCAAAAAAAAAAAAAAAAAAAGTAACACAGTATGTCTATCTTCACAAAGTAACAACATAGATTCAAGTTTTATTCGAGCCTAAATCTTATGTCTATGAGTCCTTCAGTAAACAATTTGATTACTGATCATTTTAGAGAAAACTGGTCCTTATAGGAAAAAATCCATTTGAAGAGCAGGTTTAGAAGCAGTGGAAGCAGTTCCTCATTTAAACCTGTAAATCAAACCCACACTTCCACTTTGTTTAACTCCCTTATAAACCTCACTTTCTGCCTCTAAAAATTTAATTTTGTGCTTTTTACTCAGTGGTTTCAGTTAATGCTGAACACAGATGAAACGATTGCAGCTGGTGACTTTAAAATGTGTGCAGCTCTTGAAAATGACAGCCTTAAAAAACTGAAGTTAATTGATTTTTAGGCTCAGTTGTCCCCTTTTCAAGCCCACATGAAGAATTTCAATAAGCCTGAAAATATTGTCAGTCATCAAATGAGAACAAGAACCACCGCAGGTTTCTTTTCAGCACTGCAGCCAGAGTTAAAATGCTGCTGAGCTATGGATTCCTTCAGCTCAGTGTAGTAATGACTTTGAGATTTATTACAAAAAAAAACATTTTAAAAAATGTCATGCCATCTATCTGGCAAGTGTCACAGATGTATTAGCAAGTACAGCAGCTAAACTAGCTGAAGGGTTTTATTTGATTTAGCCTCTATCCCACAAATCTCTCTGAGCTAACGGTCATTTAGATCACAGATCAACACCGCCAAGAGATGTTTCCTTTAATTAACACTTTTTTAATCAAATCAAATCAATCTTACCTAATTTATAGTCCACGTACTCCATATTTACCAGTTGTCTGTTTTATTGGTATTTTAGTTAATTAAGGATCTGTCTCAAAATCTAGACAATATGGAATTAATTGTTGGAAAAAATAAAATGTTTGTTTGGAAAACATTTGCGGGATACAGACCCTCAAAACACGGCGGTCTGATCCGCGGCTACAGAAGCTGGCTCTAGGGATGTGGAATGTCACCTCTCTGGTGGGGAAGCAGCCTGAGCTGGTGTGTGAGGTTGAGAGGTTCTGAGTAGATATAGTTGGACTCACTTTGACGCACCCCTCTGGCTCTGGAACCAGTCTCCTCGAGAGGGGATGGACACTTTTCCACTCTGGAGTTGCCCATGCTAAGAGGTGCCGAGCAGGAGTGGGCATGCTTATTGCCCCCCATCTTGGTGCCTGTACATTGTTCTGTACTCTTCACCTCGGTGAATGAGAGGGTAGACTCCCTCTGCCTACAGGTGGGGGGATAGGTCCTGACTGTTGTTTGTGTGAGCCCATTCTCATGCTCCCAGCGTCAACATATTTATGCTCAACCATGCGTCAATATGTTATATATGTTAACCACAGACACTAAAGTTAACCAGTAATCCTGATCCGTCATGTTAACCACAGACCCTAAAGTTAACCGTTAATCCTGTGACGCAACCCAGAAAAGCTGCAGGCAGCAAGGACAGACGCGCGGGGTACCCACCGTGCATCAATATGTTACGAGGTCGACATGAGAATGTGTTATTTGTGCATATACGCCCAACAGCAGTTCAGATCACTCACCCTTTCTGGAGTCCTTGGAGGGGCTGCTGGAGAGCGCTCCTAACGGGGACTCCCTCATTCTGCTGGGGGACTTCAACGCTCATGTGGGTAATGACAGTGAGACCTGGAGAGGCGTGGTTGGGAGGAACGCCACCCCCCAATCTGAACCTGAGCGGTGTTTTATTATTGGACTTCTGTGCTCGTGATGGATTGTCTATAACAAACACCATCTTCAAGAATGAGGGTGTCCATATGTGCTCTTGGCACCAGGACACCCTAGGCCGCAGCTCGATGATCGACTTTGTTGTTGTTTCATCTGATCTGCGGCCACATGTTTTAAACACTCAGGTGAAGAGAGGGGCAGAGCTGTCAACTGACCTGGTGGTGAGTTGGCTCCGTTGGTGGGGAAGGATGCCAGTCAGACCTGGCAGAACCAAAGGCTTAGTGAGGGTCTCCTGGGAACATCTGACAGAGTCTCCTGTCAGACAAGCTTCAACTCACACCTCCGGGAGAACTTTGAACACATTGCGGGGGAGGTGGGGGACATCGAGTCCGAGTGGGCCATGTTCTATGCCTCCATTGTCGAGGCAGCTTACCTGAGCTGTGGCCGTAAGGCTGTTGTGCCTGTCGTGGCGGCAACCCTCAAACCTGCTGGCGGACACTGGCGGTGAGGGATGCTATCAGGCTGAAGAAGGAGTCCTATCAGGTCTTTTTGGCCTGTGGGTCTCCGGAAGCAGCMGATAGGTATTGGCATTCTAAGCGGATTGCGACTCGGGTGGTCGCTGAGGCAAAAACCCGGGCGTGGGAGGAGTTTGGAGAGGCCATGGAGAAAGACTTCCGCACGGCTTCGAGGCGATTCTGGTTCACCATCCGGCGTCTCAGGAGGGGAAAGCAGTTTGCCACCAACACTGTTTATGGTGGGGATGGTGCGCTGCTGACCTCAACTCAGGACATTGTGAGTCGGTGGGCAGAATACTTCAAAGACCTCTTCAATCCCACCAACAGGTCTTCCCAATAGGAAGCAGAAACTTAGGACCCTGGGTTGGACTCTCCAATCTATGGTGTCGGGGTCACTGAGGTGGTTCAAAAGCTCCTCTGTGGCAGGGTGCCGGGGGTGGATGAGATTCGCCAGGAATTCCTTAAGGCTCTGGATGTTGTGGGGTTGCGTTGGTTGACGCGACACTAAAATATCTCATGGACATCGGGCGCAGTTCCCCTGGATTGATTTGATTTGATTTATTTATTTAACAGGAAAAGATTCTTAAAAATAAAGCCTGACTCAGCATGATTGCTGTTTTACAGCAGGTTCATGTTCTGCAGCACATAAAACACTCCGATTGGCAGACCGGGGTGGTGGTCCCCCTATTTAAAAAGGGGGACCACAGAGTGTGTTCTAACTATAGGGAGATTACACTTCTAAGCCTCCCTGGTAAGGTCTATTCAGGGGTCCTGGAGAGGAGGGTCTGTCGGATAGTCGAATCTCGGATTCAGGAAAAGCAGTGTGGTTTTCGTCCTGGTCGTGGAACAGCGGACCAGCTCTACACCCTCAGCAGGGTCCTGGAGGGTGCATGGGAGTTCGCCCAACCAGTCTACATGTGTTTTGTGGACTTGAAGAAGGCATTTGACTGTGTCCCTCAGGGACTCCTGTGGGGGGTACTCGGGGAGTATGGGGTACCAGGCCCATTGATATGGGTTGTTAAGTCCCTGTATGACCGGTGCCAGAGCTTGTTCCGCATTGCCGGTAGTAAGTCAGACTCGTTTCCGGTGAGAGCTGGACTCCGCCAAGGTTTCCCTTTGTCACCGATTCTATTCATAACTCTTAAGGACAGAATTTCTAGGCGCAGCCAAGGTGTTGAGGGGATCTTTTTTTTTAACTCTTAAGGACAGAATTTCTAGGCGCAGCCAAGGTGTTGAGGGGATCTTTTTTTGGTGACCTTAGGATCACATCTCTGCTTTTTGCGAATGATGTGGTCCTATTGGCTTTATCAGATTGTGATCTCCATCTCTCACTGGAGCAGTTCGCAACCAAGTGTGAAGCGGACGGGATGAGGATCAGTGCCTCCAAACCTGAGACCATGGTCTTGAGCCGGAAAATGGTAGGGCAGGAGGTTCTTCCCCAAGTGGAGGAGTTTAAGTATCTCAAGGTCTTGTTCATGAAAGAGGGAAGAATGGAGCAGGAGCAACAGGCAGATTGGTGCTGTGTCTGCAGTGATGCGGGCGCTGTACCAGTCTGTTGTGGTGAAGCGGGAGCTGAGCCAGAAGGTGAAGCTCTTGGTTTACCGGTCGGTCTATGTTCCTACCCTCATTTATGGTCACGAGCTTTGGGTAGTGACCGAAAGAACAAGATCGCGAATACAAGCGGCCGAAATGAGTTTCCTTCACAGGGTGTCTGGCCTCACCCTCAGAGATAGGGAGAGAAGCTCAGTCATCCGGTAGGGACTCCCGGATGTCGCTGCTACTCCATGTCGAGAAGAGCCAGTTGAGGTGGCTCGAGCATCTGGTTAGGATGTCTCCTGGACGCCTCCCTGGTGAGGTTTTCCGGGCATGTCCCACTGGGAGAATGCCCAGAGGAAGACCCAGGACACCCTGGAGGGACTATGTTTCTCAGCTGGCCTAGGAACGCTTTGGGATTCCCCCAGACGAGCTGGGCCCAAGTGGCTGGGGAGAGGGAAGTCTGGGTCTCTCTGCTTAGGCTGCTGCCCCCGTAATCTGACCCCAGATAAGTGGAAGAAAGCGGACGAACGGACAGAAAACTTTTGAGTGCATCAATGAAAATAAACAGAGTTGAGTTATTAGCCAGAGTTATTTTTCAGGACAGCGGAAATAAGCATTTTATTTCGATTTGGTATTAAAGTGGAGTGTTTTTTTGCCCAGCAAGGTGACAGTTGTCATATTTTTATTACAAAGAAGTAAACATTTTATTGGAACAAAAAAGGCAATATTCGATTCTAAAGTAAAAGAAACAGGTTTTCTAAAGGCCAGTCAGTAGTTCAATCTAAACAGTGTGGAGATAATAAAACAGAGGACAAAAGGCAGTTAAAGGTTGTGATGGAGACCAGGGGTCCATCTCTTATGAAATAGGATTGTGTTATGCGCAATTAATTTACAGAACAAATGTTTATTGTTTCATTTCTTTATTTTAGTTGAGTTTAGACATCTGGTAAACCATTTTTTTTAAACAGAGGGACTGGCCATCCTTCCTGTATGAACAGAAAGTAGTGAAAATGTCAACTAGTTTCCTTAAATTTCTGTTTGTTTAATGTATAAGTTTAACAATTCAACTGTTTAAGAACAAACACTTACCTTTCCTGGTTTGTCTCCTCAATAGGGTGGAGTAGTAAAAGGGAGACACATGCTCCAGGTGCTGTTTAAAAGCTCTTGGATCATACCATTTATAATAGGAGGGGGTAATGAYGTGAAGATTTATGCTGTTAGATTTACTCCTGTGACCGTCCTTAGATTTGTTAGTTGTAATGATTTGTATTTATATAAATAGTTATTGGTACCAATTATTGTTTTTGTGTTAGGTTTGTGTAAATCATGTTTATTTCTTAAAACCAGCTTGTAGTTCTTACTGTGTAATGGTGTCAGTGAACATGTAACCAGCAGAATCCAAATAAAGCCACCTCAATTAAGTTTTATTGTCATGCCTCCCTATTAAACATTGAGTCTCCACCGGTCAAAGTGACAAAGGTAAATAAGACGAGTAGAAGTGACCTGAGACCATGTATTGAATACTAAAGCAAGTAAGAATCAAGAAAACTACATCAGTTGGCAGGAAAAAAAGTATTAATAACCTAAATTTGCCATGTTTTGACCTGTACAAAGACATGTGGCTGTGTCCCATAATGACGTACAATTCAATCTATTTTAGATTATTTCTTTWGAAAATATGTGTACGAGCACAGACAAATACGTCCAATGTTAATTTATACTGTAGATAAAAGCTTACAATAAGAAAAATAAATAAACAAATAAATTATTTGTTCATATGTTTGCAGTCTGTGAGATTACACCCATATGTAAGGGTAATTAACATTTAAATGACTAAAAAAATCCAGAAGTTGTCATTATTATTATTTTTATTGGCTGCTTGATTATAACATCATATTTTTAATAATCCAAAAACAAGTATTTCTACTATTTTCAATTATTTTAGGGTGGAGGGAGTGGGATTATTCATGTTCCCACTGCTCCTACTCACTCACGCGAAAAGGAAGGGTGGAACCGGGGAAGGATGAGGATGAGAGAACGATAGAGGCTGAATATGTCCGAAGGCTGTTTTAAGAATGATAGGATGGTGGGTGGGTCGTCCTCATTTCAATTTCAAACTGATCCTCCAAGTGTCCCAATGAGCATAAATTTTTCCCCCTTCATCTTTGTCTGCCACTGCCGCCACGTAAACAGAGAGCTGAGATGAGAAGAAAGAGAGACAAAGGAGAAGAGATGTGGCGGGGACGTGGGTGGCTACCATTAACTTTACAATTTATTCTCAACATAATAAAAAATGGAGGGGGAACTTGTCAAAATGGTTAGTGTTACTTTATCTACCCCACATTTTTATGTCTGCTGTTTGTCAATAATTCTTTGTGCAAAGTCAAGCTATTCTCCTTCACCCATCTGTTTATTCTTTATCTATATCTGTCCTGCTCTTCTCTTAACTAAGTTGGGTAAGGAGTTGGACCACTCCAAGCGAGCTTATCTGAAACACTGTGGGTTATTTTCTGTGTATTAATTATGTTCAGAATGGACCAGGACAGTTTAACCAAACACACATGCAGCTGCCTAATTTTAAATCCAATTAGAAATGAACAGAGCAGTGTGATTTGGCTCAGCTCYCTGCTTACTGTATGTGAATGTTTTCAACGGTGAGATACGTCTTTGCAGTAACAATACATTTTGTGCGTAGGAAGGTGTGTGTGACTCCATTTTTGAGTCAGCAGTTTTACATCAAGGAAACCTAAATTCCTCCAGATGCCTCCTACTGCTGCAGCACTTCAGCACAGCAGACATGCAGATGATGTTTTCATTTACACACCTCTCATGAGAAAATAATAGTGTCCCAGTCAAAAATAATGTGCATATAAATACACAGGTATTTTTATATATTTATTTAAACTGGGAATTATAGCCTTACAGGTCATTAGCAGATCCATTCTACTTCACATTTTGGCAAATTGTTTACTTTCCTCCCCCATTGTTCTTCATTTTTTAGATCTACACATTCTAATGATTTATTTTGATGTGGGAACTAAAAAAATGCTGCTGGGCTAACACCCAGATTTGAAATAGTACCATTCTAAAACTAGATGACTGATTGATCTGGCAGTTATCATTTTAAAGTGGCAAAATAAAAACTAAACATACATTTATAAATAAAGCTTTTAATTTCTCCAAGATGAGGACAATTCCTAACATAATGACATTCACTAGGTCAATCTGATGGATCTGAGAACTTAATCTGAGATTAGGATTATTTGTCTTACCTTTAGAGACCTTTGTTAATGACTTGCAATTGGTGAACAAGAGGTCTTCAGCTAAAATTATTAAGTCATTTGGTTTGGAAAAACAATAACTTGAGAACCATTTCTGTTGTTAGTTCATCACAACATAATAAAACACCTGCAGACATTTTTTTAAATACCTATATTGCCAAGATTATTGGCTCACCTGCCTTGACTCACATATGAGCTTAAGCGACATCCCATTCCTAATCCATTGGGTTCAGTATGACGTTGGTCCAACCTTTGCAGCTAGAACAAGGTTTAGGAGTGTGTTTACTGGGATTTTTGTTCTATCGGGTTGAGGTCGGGACTCTGTGCAGACCAGTCAAGTTCACCCACACCAGACCCTGCCATCAATGTCTTTATGGACCTTGCTTTGTGCACTGGTGCACAGTCATTTGGATGGGTGAGCAAATGCTTTTGGCAATATAGTGTGTGTTGTGTCATCTAATGCAGCCTGCAAAATCATTTACATTTTGTGAAATTGAACCCACTCAATGATGTAGCTTAATTAATAACTATGTGGAATAACTGTGGTTCAGTCCTATGTATGGTTTAGAGAAGTAAACCAAATATAAAACAATAAAACATAAAAACTAAAGTATGTGGGTATCTGACGTATGATTCTTTAAACAATATCTTATACATGTCTTGTGTGAAGCTGTTAAGAGTGAATGTTCAGCTGATTGACCATAAAATAACCATTCTCAGAATAGAAAAAATAATAATAATTTATAGAAAATTTTACATATCCACTAGCCTTGTAATATGACTTAATGGTTTTTCATTTATTTCTGATATTATTAAAGTTTAACACAATTACTCTGGAAGGGAAATTGAAATCCATGTGAAAAGTGTAAAAAGTGAATGTTCACAACTCATTTTGTCTGAATATTTGTAGTGCATTCAGGCTTCTCCAGAGACTTATTTTCTCTGCAAAGGTATCACTTCTTGTAAGATATTGAAAGTGGTGCAGTGCTTAAAAATGTTATTATAGTTAAATGCTTTACTTTGCCATTAAGCCATACACAAACAGGAGAAACAAAGGGCTCCATACACATCGCGTGTGTATCCAGCCCCAGAGTAAGTCCCACTAATTCCTCCTTATGATTAAAAGCAAACAGAGCTATTACAGAGAAAAACATAATCCTTGCAGCAATATGCTTACAGTTTTAGCAGAGACAAAGGCAGAGCTTCCTGTGTTTCACTGCGGGGGAGCTATTTCATACGATTCACATATTTCCCTGCTGTCTGCACCCAGGAATAAATGCACTTTTATGGTGGATAAATGATGTGAACCTGCTCCCCATGTGGCTGTGCCGAGGGAGCGGCATGACATTTAGGAGGWAGTGTAGAAATGGATGAACAGAAAGAGGAGACAGATGGATGACAGACTGGGTTTGCAGGAGAGGTTGCGCTCTAATGGCAGCTGTGGTATGGATCCTGTAATCATCATCAGTTTAAACCCTGAAGTTTGATCAATACATGCAGGCACAGCGTGGGGTGACAAACAGGAACCAGCTAGAGGAAAGGACAAGAACGATATGACATGATTCCAGAAAATAAGTCAAGTCAAGACAGAATGGGGATACTGCCAAATGAACAAATATGAAGGAACAACTAATGTGCGAACAGAACGTCCTGAGGAAGAGTGGGAGTAATGAAGCCCTTAAGACAAAATAACCCAATATTTTTTTCAAATGCATTCAGACTTGGATTTGTACTTTAATAAAACCTGAATCTGGCTCCACGGCTAAAGTAATCATATTATTTGATTGTTTTATATTACATATTTGTCACCAAATAAATTCATGACCTTTGTTACGTTGAGATTAAATCTGTCTGGTATGATAGATCAACAGAGAAAGAAAAAAAAAGAGAAATCTGTCATATTGTGATATGACAAACTGTTACTATTATTACTGATAACAAATTAAGGTTTAAAGGTTTTAACACCACATTAAAAGCCAGTCAATAGGAGTAAAAAATATGTGTTTAAATCAGAGTCAACTGCAGAAAGTCAGTACAATATGTAGTGCATTGATCAGACAGGCTCACCCCAGGCTGCGTTTCTGCTATTTTGTTTGGCTGGCTTCAGTTTAAACTTGGTATGGAGAGCTCTCCTTTATTCAAGACTGCACATAAACAGAATATTAAACTTAACTTTTGTTGCTCTCCACACAATCAAAGCTCAATCTGTGGTGAAAAACATGGAAAATAGAGATAAATTTGCTTTTCCTCTGTCTGCCATCTCAGTGTGCCCACACGTGTAATCACATAGCAGACTCACCTCCAGACGCAAGTACTCTGTCTGCTCCTTGGAGATTAGATTGAAGAGGATGCTGCTGTGTTTACGAGTCCGAACCATAACTTGGATCCATGTTCTTCGAGCAGGCAGTGGCGATGCCAGCTGGTAATGCACGTGACTGTGACCATCAAAGGAGTACTCTGGGACCTCTGGAACACAAATATAGACACATGTTAGACAAATGGTGAGTCATGTTTTAAATGAATTATGTTCTGAGTTCATCTACTGATATCAAACTGAAGTGGAGTCACCTCAATCAGTCTGACTGAATTKATTTTTTTTGTGGTTCTAGAAATGGACTTTGGGCATGAGGAGCAGAGTTGGCTGAACAGACCTTACATTTTCATCAGTTATTCCTCTAACTTGCTTCATATTTGTGGAAAGGAGCATTCTGTCAATTATTTTCGAACCTCTTCCCCTCTTCTCTGTGTACTGAAAGTCTGGCGGAGCTGAGTAGCTTTAAAGGTTCAGTTTGAACAGAAATTCATCGAGAATGCAATTAAACATCCAAGGGGCTTTTGAACATCCCAGCAGTTTGCAGTTTGCTATTTATTAGGAGCTGTTTATATGGAATTTGAGATTATAATTAGGTTTTAGTGTTCACTTCCTAATTTTAGAGAAGTTGCTTTAAAAAAAAAGAAGAGTGGTGATTGAAACCTCTGAAGATGACAGAAAAAAGAGATACTGAAGAGAACGACTCATCAGCTTCACTCACACTGAGRATGTTGTAATCTGTGGAGTAAATCTCAACACGACTAGCCAATAACAGTTGTTTTCTGGTTTATTTTTTTCTGCTCCATCCTGCAAAGTTACAGCCAGAGTCCACAATACTTTTTCCTTTTCCAAAGAGGGTTTCATGTGCTGTCAAAGATCAGCCAAATGACCTGGTTTGGGCATGGTGTGTAGAATTAGCTGCTTCAACATGAATAATCTCATGAATAAAAAAGTGATTAATTGTTGTTTGTTCATTCATTTACTCATTGTTTCACTCACTAAATCACTGATTGAATGTTTTGTTCTGTGACACCTGTTGGTTTTAATGACTTTTCAAACTGTTAAAGAATAATGACTGCATGACAGCACGGCACACTTATTATAAAATTAGTAGTACGTGTGAGCAAACCCTGTCAATTAGTGTCATTCACAGGCAGAGGACTGTGGCAAAACAGGACTGTGGAGCTGGGCACAGTGTGCTTCGGTCAGCAGAAAACATCACTTAAGGTTCACTTCTCAAACTGGGATGTGTGCAGTGCAGGACCAGGATCATTAAARATCCCATCTCAATCCAACAGTCTCCTCCAACAGCTGCAGTAAAAGCGAGCGCCTCCACAACCATACGGCCAGCACAGACAAGCTCACAGGGAGCGTTCATCCCCGGGCCATGAGGATCCTTAATATGGCTGCTGCTGAGAGCCTACGTGCTGCTCTTTGAGAAACACACAAATTATACAGCAGTAATTAAGAAGCCTTGAAGGAAAAGGCAACTGACCTGTATATGCATTTTACATAACATCTGCGTACAGGATGTCAAGGAGCAGATGGCTCTGTTTACTATTACTGTCAAGAAAGCACAGAAGAGCAGCAGTGTACTGTACACGATAAGTAATTGGCCAGAGTTGTAAAGTTCCATCATCTGCAGATCACGCATCTGTGTGATGAACATGTACATGTCCTTTAAAATCGTGATTATTTCCTCCGCTAAGGGGAGGAGGTAATGTTTTCAGTCACGTATGTCTGTCGTTCTGTCTGTGGACAAAATTACTCAAAAACTTGTGGATGGATTGTCATGACATTTTTACCACGTGGGTACTGGCCCAACGAACACACCATTAAATTATGGTCATGTTCCGGATCACGGTGTGGATACAGGATTTTTTTTCTTTTAATTCGAGCGAATCAGCCAGTCTACGCAGTGTCATTACGTCAGACGCACGCCTGTAGGAAACAGGAAGTACAAGTCGCTAATTCGCTGGGACTACACATCCCAGTATGTGTACTATCAGGAAAGTTTTGATTATTCTGTTATCAACTACTTCTGGCGATGTTACATGCTGTCTGGAGATGTACAAAAAGAAATGCGATTCTCTTCACATTACGGGAATAACAGGACACACCGACTGCGGGAGGAGGGTCCTGTTGCAGCCAAGCCAAACCTACACTGTTCAGAACAGCTGCTGGTACCCCCTCCATGTAAAAACTTTATTGTGTGATTGCCCTGAAGTTTGTGGGAGTGTTTGTGCTGAAAGCGTTCACACGCTGTATTTTGCTTCAATCACTCGTTTAAAAAAAAACAACATTTGCTTCCAGAGCCGACTGTAACAGGAAGCAGTTTATAAAGACAGTCAAACAATAAAAGGGGATAAAACAGATGATTTACAGCTTAATCCGAGAGCAGTTTGTATATGATTGATGTCGGGTGACAAGTCTGACTTTTTTTTTCACATTGGAYTCCACYGGGATAAAATCCCTTGCRTACTGCCTGCTTAAATGTTCACTACGTCAGAACTTATTCGGCAAATGTGTTTCCATCTCTCCTTTTGCACATTAACTCTATTACAGGATGGGAGAAATTGGCCTTGGCGGAGGTTTGCACTCTCCGAGTGCTTCTAGTTTAGTCTTTGTTCTTGGACACCGTACAGTCAGAAACATCATAGCTTCATGAAATGTGTGAGTCTAAGAAAGGCTTGGCTTACCTTCTTCACACTGGTGGCCCATGTAGCCGGCAACACACTGGCAGCTGAAGGACCCCCACTCACCGTGACAGCGACCACGGTGGCCACAGGACGGATAGCCCATGTTGACGCAGCTGCTGTCTGTGGTCAGGCAGCCCGGAGAGCTGGACTGGTAGTCAGCCGGGGAGCCCAAGTCATAAAGCTGAACGGTGGAGATAGAGAGGAGGAGATGAAGGTGTGGCACATGTTGGGAAATGAGAGAAAAGGACAAAGTGAAGGACGAAAAAGATGGAGAGATGAAAAGTTATAGGAAGTTATGAGGTTAAAAGAGAAAGGGTTGTAAAAAGAWACACTGGAAAAGTCATGTTCCCAATAAGTAAACAGCTTAATGGGAGCCTAAAAGGCACACCACCATCAGAAAGGTGGGGTTTGTGGAACGTACAGTACAGACATGCAAGCATCTCCACAGGGGGAGTCAAAGTTCTCCAAACAAGTAAAGTCAAGCTGTGTGAAAATGAAAGAACTGAGGACGAAACTTTTAAAATATGCTGAAGGACATAAGCTCAGAGTACGGTGTAGCCTTTTCTTCTTCCCCCACACTCGTCTTTCTTTCAACATCTGTTTATATTCTTTATATGACTAACTTACTCTTCTGATGGTGAAAATAAATAAAGAAATAAACACTGGACCAGGCCCTCTGATGGAAACCAGCATGACATACTGCAAAGAGAGCTAAGAGGATGAGAGAGCTTTGAATACTTAAACATGTGGCCTTCACTTATTAACTATTCTGAGCAGCAGTTTTTTGATACCAAGTAGAACCAGGAGTGTAAAAGGATAAAAAAAGCTGATTCATGTCATTAAGAAGCTGGTGAGTCCCAGCAAAGACACATTTGATTGGTTGTTGACCTTTGAGTGCTGCATGCCTTTTACAGATCCAATTGATTAGGAAAAGCTGAAACCAAAGAAAAATTCAGAAACAGCAACAAAAAGGTGTGTTGTTGTGTCTGCAGCTGATTTGAGTTTACAACTGTATAAATGACTGTGGAAGAGTCTAAACTAAGCACTTAAGGGCAAAAGTCCACCTGCTTCTTTCTGCAGAAATGGCACAGAGTGGCTTCAGCCGAGAAGAATGTCACTCCTTTAGACAGACACACTGTTGGAGCCCTATTTGCCAARATTAATGTCAGGTGCTGGGTATAAACATGTCACAGCCCACACAAAGAGGAAAAATAAGTTCGAAACTAAAATAAAATGCCCATCTGTGCATGTGCTCTGCGGTGAGGGAAGTCACATTACAAATTAGCCCATAAGTAGAACTTTGGATCAAAATATATTATTAAACAAACAAATGAACTGATTTTTTTTATTCAAAGCCTTCAGCTGTCATTGGCTAGTGTCAACACAGCGTGTCAACAGAACCTTACAGGGTGTAATACAGAAATATTCTGCAGATAGTGGGGGGAAAAGTGATTACTTGCAGAAAGCTGTATGTCTGCAGGAAAAGACCACCACCTCATGTGGGTCTCAAGACATGACTGAAGGATAACTCATGAATATTATATGCATGGTGCTGTTAACTAAGGGCAATAAAAAGTTTACTTACCAGTACTATATATATATA